TGTCTCTGTGACGTGAACAGGGTCCTCTGCTCCTGGTCCTGCGAGTCCTTCCAACCCTGCAGGGATGTGGAGGTGTCTGTCACAGGCAGAGACTCAGGCCCACAGGGGACCGTCCCTGGCCCAGCAGCAATGGCTGGAGGGTGGCAGGAAGCTCCCGTCCTGGTGCTGCCTCCCACTGATGAGCTCAGCCTGGCCTGGTGACTGTCATGCCTGCTGGGGTCCTCTCTGCTGAACCAACACCGTCCCTCAACTCCAGGCCTCTGGGCCTCTGCTCAACGTGGTTTTAAAACACACCAAGGAGAAGGCTCGTGATTGGCCGCCAGCTTGAGGGTGTCAGTACCTTAAAGCAACAGCAGGAGCCCAGCAGAGGGTGCCCACCGGGCCCTCCACGGCCGCCACACTGGTACCTTCATAACAGCCCCCTTCCCGGGCCTGGCTTCCCGGGCCCTTTCCTCCCCCAGAGCTCCTGATTGACATGACCTTTACGAAAGGTCACTGCCAGCTGTCACTCTCTTTGGAAGCATTAGGTGCACATTTCTGACCTGCCCCAAGCCCCTGTTCTCCGCTTGACTCTGGGCCTCGCCCACTGATCCCAGACACACTCTGACACTCTCCCATGCAGACACACACACACACACACACACACACACACACACACACACACACACACACACCCGGCTGCTGCAGGCCTGACACTGCGGTGGCCCCAGGGGAAGGTGAAGGAACTCTACTGGGCTGAGGAGCCAGGATCCCAACGCTGCTCCCAAGATGGCGGCCACCAAGCGCATGCAAGGCACACAACGTGACAGCGGGCTCAACGGCACCCTCTTTGAAACGGCCCAAGTGTTCCGTGGCTCCTGTGTGGGAGCGTGGCCCTGGGACATTTTGCTGAGCCCTCATGCTCGCCCATGATGCTCTTGGGATAACGCTGCTCTTCAGGGCAACTGTCACCGGCTCTGGGACACAGGGACATTTTCAAGTTTTGCAGGGACATCAACTGAATAGATCCTCGGCCTTCACAGTGCCCTGCCCGTAGCCCCCGGCAGTCCCTAGACCCTCCAGCCTCGCCCTGGCCCAGGCACCTGTGCCATCTTGCCTTCTGAGGGTCCTTTCTCTGGATGGTTCTCTCCTGAGTCAGTCACCTGGGACCCTGGGAGCAGGAGGCCCGGTGGACAAGCACCTGTGACAAGTTGAAAGCACCCTGAGGCACCATGGCTCCCTCACCTTGGAGAGGCCCTGCGTGGCTGGTCTGAAGGGACCCCTGGCTATGGGCGCCTCCTGCCCGGGGTTGGCTCCTCCCCGCCCAACCCCGGGCCCCCAGTCCCCGTCCAGGTGTGGCCACCCCAAACACAAGCTCCCTTCCACTTCAGCCTCACGGTGCCTCTGGGCTCTGTTGGGGGGCGAGTGTGCCTGGGGCCCAGCTCTTCACAGTGCTGCCCACAGAGAGCCTGGCTCGTGACCAGTGGGTCTTGCCCTCCAGCGGAGCCTCGTGCTTCTACTGGTTACCACCAGACGTGGGGCCATTCTGGATGCCCACGGTGGCCATCTCCTTTTCTCTCTCTTTCCCGCCTTCCCTCTGCCCCTGACACGCACACCAGCCCCTCCGCCGCTCTCCCCTGCACCCTGCCCCTCCACCGCTCTCCCCTGCACCCTGCCCCGCCCGGGGTCTTTCTGTTTTTGATCCTCTTCCCTCTCTGATTCTTGCCGACTTCAGGATCAGGACGTCTGCTGTCTTGAACAGCCTGAAGCAGAAGGGTTCCTGGTGTTCACTGTGCGCCAAGCGGCCAGGTGAGCTACCTGCCAGGTGAGCTACCATCTTCCTCACTCCCGACCCCAGAGCCCAGGACTGCACGAACCAGTTTTGGAATCCCAGCTAATCGTCTCTCCGTATCTGCTTTTCTCCCATAAATTGAAACAAAAAGGCCTACCCCACTGGGCTGTTCCACAGTAAGTGAGAAAGCAGATGAGAGTCTTTGTGAGCTTCAGAACTCAGTGCAAATGAAGAGATCCGCCACTCCCACCACCCTACCACCACGCGTGACTTCATCACCACCATCACCACCATCACCGTCACCATCGTCATCACCATGATGGCCACTGACACCATCACCACCATCATCACCACCACCGTCACCACCGTCATCACCACCACCACCACCATCTTCACCGTCACCTTCTCATTACCATGATCACCATCTTTATCACCGTCACCATTGTCATTGATGCCACCATCAGCAGCACCTTCATTGGTGGGAAGATAGATCCACATTTTTAAAAAACATTTTCCAGCTGTAGATGGACACACTACCTTTTCTTTAACGTGATGCTGAGGACGGAACCCAGCGCCTCACACGTACACGGCGAGCACTATGCCGCTGAGCCACAGCTCCGGTCCCAGCCCACGTTTTAAATGCTGCTCCTCCTCTGGTCTCTTGTCCTGGGAGAGTCACTTCTGCCTGGTGAGGGTAAGAGTCCCCGCTCATGGACACAGAGCCCAGAGCCTGTCCCCAGAGCTTCCGGTGCCCAGGCGAGGGTGTGGCCTGAGAAGGGCATTTTCTCTCAAGCTCCTGAGGCTGCTGGCCCAGCGTCTGGGTCAAGGAGTGGTCAAAGGCACGGCCAGAGGAACTCACCACATCCCCAGAGTCTGGGGATGTGACGGTGGCCGACAGCTCCGAGGCTGTCCAGTCGAGCACGTCTGACCCTCTTAAATGATGCAGCGACCCATCGTGTCCCTGGGGGACCGACGCTAAACGACGCACTTTCCTAACCGCGAGGGGAGGACTGTGAGTGAAAGATGAAGCGAGGCCATTGTCCAGGCGAGGACCTGCAGAGTGAACCAGCCACTGTGCCTCCCGAGGAGGAGGAACCCGGCTCCCGAGTCACCGCAGGAGTCCAGCGGGATGGGGTCAGCGGGACGGGGCCAGCGGCAGGCTCCAGCCCCACTGGTTCCATGAGCCACGTCTGGAGGGCACAAGTCCGGCCAGTTCATCAGGTTTCTGCATCGGTGTCACTGGGAACCCTTCGTACATCTGACGGGTTGCTGTTAGCAACAGAAAGGGACCGAGTAGCCTTGCTCGGGTGCTGCTGGGCGCTGAGGGTGTGTGCACACCCCAGAGACACTCGCAGGCAGGGCGTCCCCGTCCCACGCTCAGGGACAGGAGGGCCTCTAGGCCCTGGACGACCTGCCTCCCTGAGGCATCGCGAGTCGGTTGCAGCACGAGTGTGGGGCCCAGGAAGGTCCCCTGTGCCATCCGTGCTCACGGGGACTCGGGGGCCATGGCTGCTGTGTCTAAGCAATTGATGCAACTTCGTGTCTTTTTTTTAAGGATCAAAGAAATACATATTTAATGGCAAAAGTGAATTCCTGAAACCAAGCCCTCCCACCCATCCCCCCACAGCTGACCCCGAAGGACAAGGCAGGCGTACGTCCCCACAGGAAGAAGGGACTCTCCTTGCGGAGTAAAGTCACCTTCCCAGGCCCAGTGCAGACCAGCCATCGCTGTGCAAGCCACTCCTGCCACACCCGTGCAACCCAGCGTCAACGCTGAGTCCAGGTGGGGACCCGAGGACTCCAGGGACGGCGCCATCACACTTTCAAGACATCAAGTCTGTGTCGTTAGTGACATCCCAGAAGATACCAGGAAGCTCACGGGGAGACCAGTCCCAAGTCCGACTCCTCCCAGCCCAGGAGACGTAATCACTTCCTTAAGGAGCATGGCCGTCACACGCACACACCCCGGTATCTCTTCACTCTGAACTAGCCGCCATCTGACCAAAACTTCCACGCTCATACGGGTCTGGCCCACAGAACCAGGCCCGGCCCGCAGAACCAGGCCCCATCTTCCCTGAAAAGAAGGCAGCCCGATGCCCAGGGCAGGGCAGACCCGAAGACGTCACAGAGAGGCCAAAGGCGGGAAGCCAGTGTGGTGAGTCCCGTGTGGAATGTGCGGAGCAGACGGATCCGCAGAGACGGAGGGGAGCCACGGCCTCCCGAGAACAGGGCAGGTGAGTGGTGGGCGACAGAGCGTCTCCTGGCACCTGAGCACACCGCGGAGGTGTGGGTGCCAGGGATCGTGATCCTAGATGGTTACGATGCCAACTTTGTGTTTCGCGTATTCTGTCTGATTTTCTTCACTTAGGCCCCGGGGTTGTGTGCCGCACCCTGGAACCCCAGGGGGTCACTCTCCCTCCACCCTGGGGTGGTGCATGGTGCGGTGCCACTGGACAGCAAGCCCCTCCCCGTGACGGGCAGCAGAGCCTATCTTTCTAAAGAGCATCAGAGAGCAGCCAAGTCTCGGTTGCTTTTCCAGGACTCTCCTGGGGACCTGTGCGCGTCACCCACCTGCTCAACCTAACAGCGAGGAGGCCCCGGAGCAGCCTTCACACGCGGAATGCAACCCGTGCCCCACGCTCGACGCCCTGCACGGGGACCCTAAACCGCCACCTCAAGGCCACGCGAGGCCCCCTGCCACCAGGAGCCCTCTTTACCTGGAACGGCGTCTGGCTGTTGTAGTTCTTCAGTTCCTTGTTTCCACCCCGAAACAGGAGCACGCGCGCACAGCTGTCCTGAAATCCAAGAGAAGAAGCTGCTGTGACGCCGTGGCAGGGACCGTGTCCCCCAGCCCCGCTCACACAGCGGGGTCCAGGCTCCCACTGCTGGGGCGCAGGTGACACCAGTGCTCCCCACACAGGGCGAGGCCTGGCTGCCTTCAGGGCTCACCGCGACCAAGCCACTCCTCTGGGAGGTGGCACTTACAGAACGTCTTGTCAACCTAACAGAGGAAACGCCCACTCTCCTGAGAGAGTGACAGGCAGGGGAACCCGCAGGGGCGTAAAGGGGGGGCCAGGACACCCTCACCCAGGCCACCGCAGGGCCAAGGCCAAGGGCTGGGGGCTCCCAGCAGGGAGGGCAGCCTCCCGCCAAAGGGCAGCTGACGCCCATAGTGTGTGTTTTCTGTCTGTGTTGGTGCTGGGGACTGAAGTCGGGAGCACTGCCGCCAAGCTGCGTCCCCAGTCCTCTTGATTTTGAGACAGGGCCTTGCTACGTTTCTGAGGGTCTCGAAAGCTGCCCGGGGTGGCCTGGAACTCGTGATCCTCCTGCCTCAGCCTCCTGGCCTCTGGGATCACGGCACTGTCTGCTGCGCCCCAGCTTCACTGGCACCTTAGAAGCTGAGAGTCCAGTAGGGACGCAGAGGCCGTGTGTGGGGCACGTGCAGCAGCACCGACTGCCCGGGAGGGAGGGTCAGGGCGAGAGCCGCAGGACCTCCTCCGCAGGACGTCCTCCAGGGACATTCACGTGTTTTCACGTTGGCAGAGCCGCCAAGCCACTTGGTGTGAGTTTTCACAGTGAGAAGGAATCCACCCTATTTACTTGGGCCTGGGGCTGATGAGATGAGAACTTCCTGCCGTCTCTCCAGAAGTTTCTTTGGAAGTTCCCAGTGAGGACAATGGGGACAAACACTACGAATAAAAAGGCCGATGGCAGAGAATCAAAGAACAGGCACTGGCTATGGACAGGGTCACGCTCTCCCGTGATTTTGCCACTGTCCAAACGTGACAGAATCCACTTACACAAGCGAAGAGGCCTCACGCGGCCCCAGGCCACGTGATCTTACGGAATCCCCACTGCATGTGGCCATCGCTGACCGGAAGGCCACTGTGCCTACATGACAGAATACTCTGCCTAGCAAATGCCATTGGCTATTTAGAGTAAGTTTGGCTCTGGACGAGCATGGAAATGACGGACGTAGGTGGACAGTGGGCAGCACACACCAGGGCAGGCAGCCCACTGCAGAGCTGGGCACTTTCCCCCTGAGCCGGGCCCGTGCCCAGCACAGCCGAGCTGCACTGGGAATGTCAGGGACCCCCCCTTCACCTGCGCTCAGGGACGGGGACGGGAAGGATCACCTGGACCTGACACTCCACATGCTCTCTCCATGAAGGGATGCTGGAAAAGCCAGCCAGGCCACCACCCAGGGAGCTACAGGACACGGCGGGTCACACGCAGGACCCTGGCCCCAGACCAGGAGGGGAGGCTGCAGTGGGGACCTGCAGGGGCCAGGGTGGGACAGTACACAGGCCCTAGGACCTGCAGGACAGCAGCTCTGACAGAGCCCCAAATCCAGAGCAGACAGCAGGCACATGACTGCCCAGGCCCCGAGGGCCAGAGCGTCAGAGCACAGCTCACTGCACAGGGCTCCTGCTGGGGGCAGTGTCCTGAGGTGACTGTGGCGATGGGCGGAGAAGGGCGGAGCTCACTGCACTGGGCGCCTTACCTGGGGACTGAGCAGCTTGTGACTCACATCTCAATTACACACTTAGGAGAAGGAGATAGAGCGGGGTGAGCCCGGGCCGCAGCCTGCCCTCTGCCCTCTGAGGCCAGGCAGGCGAAGGGCAGGAGGACAAGGTTCCTGGAGCCAGGAGGGGCTGCCACCCAGGACCCCATGGTCTGACTGTGAGGAGGAAATGGGAATGGAGCCGTGGAGCCTGAGGCAGAAGGGCAGCCACCATCACGCAGAGAACTGGCTGTGCTTCGGGGCCAGTGTCCTGTGCACCCAGCTGCACCCAGGCTGCCCCGGGTGAAAGGTCACACGCTGCATCAAGTCCCGCTGAGGCCACGCTGGGCAGAGGGGCTCCGTCCAGGGAAGCACCTTGCTGGGCAGGAGGAAGGGAGCCTGGACTGGGGAGCAGACTGCCCCAGCTGTGGGAAGGACGGGGGGTGGGGGACAGATGGAACCCACCACACGCTGTCCCCAAGGCACCTCTGCAGCCCAGCTCTACTGAGAAGAAAGGCCACAGAGGGGGCCCTGTCCCTGGGGCGGTGGCTCTCAGTGGGAAACATCTGGCCATGTCCAGAGACATCTCACTGCCCCGGGGTGCTCGTGTGCTAAGCGGGCTGAGGCCAAGGAGGCTGGGAGGCCCTGTGATCCCTAGGTCAGCCCCAGAGGCCACCCGGAGGGGCACAGACCTGCCGAGATGGCTCCACGGCTACTCGGGGGTCTTGCTCATGGGCACCACTGTCTCCAGGGCCTGGGAAGGATACCCCCAAAACAAGCCTCAGGCCACAGCGGGTCAGGACCCATGAGGGCCACGGGTCCAGGCTGGGCCAGTCTCTTCCTGAACACACCTGGGACTCTGGGACCACCTAGCGAGGTCTGTGGAGGCACCCCGTGCTCTTTGGGATGGGCGGCGTAGGGACGGGAGGACGGAGGTGGTGCTCAGTGGATGGCTCACCAAGGCGGGCAGGGGGTCCCCCACATGTGCGTGTGTCCCCTCCCTACCCAGCCCTGGACCAAGCAGGTCCTCGTGGGGGATGTGGCAGGTGGGGTCTTCACTGCTAGGGCTGGGCTGGTGGAGATCTTGGAGGGCCACCTATTCCAGAAGGTGCAAAGGGCACAGATGGGCTGCCCACGGTCACCCCAGGGAGGATCCGCCTAACGGGAGGGTGCGGCATGGACGCCAAGAGCTGTCACCAGGAAGCCGAGCTGGGTGGGGACAGGTGTGGCAAGGTGTGTGGGTGGCACCCTGCCCCCATCAAGAGAGGGGAGTCTGACGGACCACCTGGGGAGACAGGAGTGGGAACCTGCAGCCAGGGGTGTGGGGACGGGCTGGGCACAGTGAGTGTGCCCCGCGGGGCCGGGAGGAGGGGCGTTTCCATCAGCGAAAGTCTGGAGGAGAGGGACACAGAATGGCACCACCGAGGACAGGGCTGACAGCACCTCCAGGCCCGTCGGGGGCTCCTGTCTCCGCCCTGGACGTCTTCAGCCGAGCATCCACACAGGACAACTTGCTGCCGGCTGAGCAGCTGTTCGGGTAGGCAATCCCTGAGGGCGGGCCTGCAGGACACCAGGCACACACACCAGGGCACTGGAGAGGGGCAGCGTGTAAACAGGACGCTGATGTCACCAGCGTCGGGCTGGACCGGTCCCTAGTCCAGCCTGCCTCTGAAGACCACCCCAGAGCAAGGGACAGGGTAGCTGGGGCAGCACCCCTCCAGGCCCTGGGGCACCAGCACGCCTGCGGGCCTCCCTGGGGGCCCTACTTGGCCCAGTCAGTGGGTGTGGGGAAGGACCTCCCGGGGAGGCCGCGGGCTGGGCACTTCACCACATCCTAACCCAGCAGCCTTTGGAACAAGCCGGGGTCTCCCACCTGTACAAAGGAACGGGCAGCTGAGGGGTCCCAGAGCTCGGGGGCCTCGGGAGGCTTGGGCACACCTTGCACTCCACAGGACCCAGAGTGCTTGTCCCTGGATGCAGAGGCAGAGCTGGCCAGGGCCTAGGGGCCATCAGCAAGGGCATGGAGATCCAAACAGGAAACACCCCACTGCTCCCACCGTGGCCCTCACTAAGCTCAAGACACCTGCTCTGGAGAGGCACGGGTGTGCATGTGTGCACATATGTGTGTGTGCATGCATGTGCATGTGTGTGCACATGTGTGCACGTATGTATATGTGCATACATGTGCGCATATGTGCGTGTGTGCATGTGTGTGTGCATGTATGCATGTATGTATGTGTGTGCACGCACATGTCTTCTACACAAACTGGCCTGGCCTGGTGACCTCTGATGTCTGGCCCTCCCTCTGGCCCTTCGTTATCCAGCCCAGGAAAGCAAACGCCAGCTCTTGCCTCCCCCTGAGCCCTTAGAAAGCCGGCGTGAGGCTGAGGGAGTCCACACATTAGAAACAATTTGCTGCTTACAATCAAAGCCCTAATTAGTTGATTGCATAAGAGAAGAGAGAATATTCTGATCACAGCGTGTTTTATTAGACGTGTGGAGCTGAGGCCCGCGTAAAATTGATAAAGTACACATATCGTCCCACACACCTGAGTGCTGTTAGACTTCAGGAGGAGAGGCTTGTTGAGGCCAAGAGCAGGAGCACCGTCACCACCACCATCATCACCACCACCATCACCATCACTACCACCATCATCACTATCACCACCATCACCACTACCATCATCACCACCATCATCACAACCACCACCATCACCATCACTACCACCATCATCATCACCATCATCACTATCACCACCATCAACAACATCACCATCACTAC